CTGGGATTACAGGCGTGCGCCACCATGCCCAGCTAGCCCTGATATTCTTAAGCAACTCTCTATCCCATAGTCTTTTTGCCTTCTGAGTCAAAAACTAATTCAATAGCCACTCTTTTGGACATCTCTAACTTTAACAAAACCCAATTTTTAACTGAATTGCTATAGAAAACAAAGGGTAAACTTATATAAATACATCTGAGTAATTTTCGGATTGTGAATGGTAAACTCCAAATGAGGCAAAAAAAAAAAATTATTTCCTCCATGTGTGCATGTGTATATTTGAGTTCAAGCTGAAGAGGTAGCCAGGTGCAGTGGTGCACACCTGTAATCCCAGTGACTCAGGAGGCTGAGGCAAAAGGATCACAAGTTTGAGGCCAGCTTCAGCAACTGAGTGAGGTCCTGTCTCAAAATAAAAAGTAAAATGGGAATGGGGGTGTAGCTCAGTGGTACAGAATCTCTAGGTTCAGTCCTTAGTACCAGGGGGAATAAAAAAGTTGACATATTTACTGGGGTATCATCACCTGTAATAGTAAAATGGAGAACTGAAGTCTTTCTAGATAATTTTCAACAGTTAATAAAACTGAATGGAGCATGCAAAAGCTTGAGTGCCATCCTAAGGCTCCAGAGTACCTGCCAAGAGGGTCATGTCCTGCCTCCAGCAGCTGAAGACAGGACAGCACTAGCCTCCTCAACTTTTCTGCCCTAACACACCAAAAGAGTAGGCTGGAATTCCACCAGCATCTACAACTCAGAGGGGCTGGGGGAGAGGGGACAGTATTTGTAGTTTATCAAGTCTCCAAGACTTTGGGAGTCTATTAAAATAATGTCAATTCCTGGGAGAGAGAAGAGCAGTGCTTTTATGGGTCACTCAATCATGCCTTGCGTGGTAGAATCATCAGGGGAGCTTGTTAAGAATGCAGTTTCTAGGATTCCATCCCCAGAGTTTCGCATTTTTAACAAGCACACTTTCAAAGTGCACTTTGAAAACCTTAGCCTGCCAGGGAAGGCGTTTTGTGGGCTGGAGCTTCAGAGGACTGAGTGCCCATGGGCTCCCACGCTCTTCTAGTTCCCCCAACTTCCTTCCAGCCTGGAAGACAGGCTTGAGCCACCTGCAGGAGGGGGGTGAGTCCAAAGCATCAGAGAGCAGGGTCTCAGTAGGGCTCTTGGCTGTTATTTAACCTCAGCTCTCAGCCTTTCTAATCTGTAAAATTCTAACTGTAGATATCTCTAAGGTCCCTTCATCTTTAACATTTGTAGCATTTGATGACTGAACTTTTATTTATTTATTTATTTTTTGCTCAGGGCCACCAGCTGAGAGAGAGGAGGTGTAACAGAACAAGACCCCTTGTCACCACCCCTAGGGTTTGATCCTCAGCACCACATAAAAATAAATAAAATAAAGTTAAAAGAAAAAAAAGCTGTTTATCCAGTTGTGGACCCTGCACTCTCTCCAGGGCATGTGACAGTTGTTTTTTCTTTAAAAAAAAAAAAATGTTTTTAGTTGTAGATGGACATAATATCTTTATTTTTGTTTATGGTGCCAAGGATTGAACCCAGTATCTCCTGCTTGCAAGGCAAGCACTCTACTGCTGAGCTACCACCCCAGCCCAACAGGTGATGGTTTTATCATTATCATGGCTTCAGGTGGCCTCTGTGAATCTATACCTTACTGCCAGATCCCAAGTCTCAGCCCACTGATCCCTGAAGATTTTCTAGGGAATTATTTCCATCCGGGCAACTCAAAGAAGTTTGGTGTGTTGTACATCCAAAACAGCCCTTCAGTGTCCAACCTCCTGTGTGGTGCTCCAAGTCTCATTCCTTGATACCCCCAGAATACAAGGCAGAGACTCTAGACCAGTGGGGCTTGGCCTGGGCTGTACCTTGGAATCATCTGAGCAGCTGGAGGTGGGGAGGCAATCAGGACAAAGCTACAGGTGATTGTAATAGGCATTCAAGGTCAAGAAGGTCTGTTTAGAGCCAGTGAGGATCAGGATTGGTTCCCACTCTTCCTCAGTGTGAGTACAGTGCTTAACCCCCTCTGGGTCTCAGTTTGCTCATCTGTGAAATGCCACTGGAGTAGTATCACCTTGATAAAGCTGCTAAAAGATTAAGTGAGGGGCTGGAGTCATATCTTGGTGGTAGAGCACTTGCCTTGCATGTGTGAGGTACTGGGTTCAATCCTCAGCACCACATTAAAAAAAAAAAAAAGAAAAAGAATAGATTAAGGTGAAATAATGTTTAGAGACTATAGTTTGTAGAGTACATGCCTGGCCAAAATAACAGATTAGGGGCTAGGAATGTGGCTCAATAGTAGAGTGTTTGTCTAGCATGCATGAGGCCCCGGGTTCAATCCCAAGCACTGCAAAACAAATAACACAAACAAGTAGCAGGTAATATTAGTGACAGGGTGCATTCATGAGTTGGGTGCCCTTCTGGCAAAGGAGGAAATCCAACACCATTCTACCTTACACTGACCCACTTCATTCCCCCACCTTGTAGACAGCATCCCTCAGGTTTATGGAGTTGGACAATCTAGGCCTGAACAGGAATTAGCTGATCCTCCCAGAGGAGAAGGTGAGAGCCCCCAGTTAAGGTAGCAGCGGCACAGTGGTGGACTCCATGGGGATGTAGTCCCCTGAGAAACAGGAGCAGGGAGGGGTCTGGGAGCCCTGTGCTATGGGAAGCCTCAGAATACCATGTGGGGATTCTTAGAAAGCTTGGCTCAGGAGGAAAAGGAGCCACCACTGCTCCCCAATGGGGCCTAGGGCCAGGCCAGGATCCTGCCACCCAGCCTGAACACATGTCCTGCCCCCAGGAAGCCCTCACAATCTTGTGAAGTTTCAAGTAGTTCAAAGTGAAGAAAAAGGACCTTCAAAAGACCTGTCTTTAGCTAACTGTAGGGGCACATGCCTGTAATCCCAGCAACTCGGGAGGCTGAGGCAGGAGGATCACAAGTTCAAAGCCAGCCTTAGCAAATTAGGAAGGCCCTGTCTGTAAATAAAAAATAAAAAGGGCTAAGGATGTGGCTCAGTGGTAAAAGACCTGTGTTTAGACTCCTCACAGGCCATAACAAGGGAGGACTGAAACTGGATTTGTTTTCACTTGGAAAAACAAAGTGTGACATTTCTCATGCTCTGTGTGCTATGAAATAAACTGCACATCAGTTATGATTGTGATGCTTCCTGATTCCTCTTTCCCCCTTTCTTCCTTCTCTGCCTTCCTTTAGGTATGCCTGAGGAGTCTGGCACCTTCCCTTGAGGCTTTCTGTCCCCTTCCTGCCACCTTCACCTCCTTCAGATCACCACCCACTTCCTCTGCCCACCCTGAGCTGAGTAAGGGGCTCCATGGTGCTGCCTAACTGTAATACCTGTCACATATTGCTTCCTCTTGTGATTTTGTCAGCTCCCCATGTCTGCCTTTCTCAACATCCTATCCTCTGAGCCAAGCAGAATGCCTGAATGCACTAGGCACTTAACATAATCTGATTGGATGGATGGACAAAGGGATAAACAGATACAGTCATCCTATCTTGGGTGACAGCTGGGGACAAGCAGAGAAATGGCAGATGCAGGAAGCACAGAACTCGAGGAGGAAGTAGAAATGAACTGCTGCAGCCTTGAGAATTCCCTCTGGCCTAATCAAAAAGCAACTGTAAATTGAGTAAAAGCTAGAAAGCAGCATAAATAATGTTGCCAAAGGCATTAAGGAGATCCTTATCAGACACAGTGAAAGTGACTTGCCAAATTTTTCACCCAATGGAACCTTGTTGTTGCAGTTATTAAAACTGTTTCTATATTCATTTTACTCATAAGGAAAAACCTGCTTCTTTTGTGGCTCAAGTGGCTCTTGATAATTAGATGAAAAATGTATATTTGTAATGTGTTGGTAATCCAGGCTATGTCTACTTAATGTATTGGGCTGTTTTATTCAGTCAATGCTTTCTGGGTTTGTAGGCATGATGGCCAGGCATGCTTAAAAAGAATATTTAGGGTCAGAATGTTCAAAGCCAGAATTGGCAACTTAGGAAGGCCCTAAGCAACTCATTGAGACCCTGTCTCTAAATAAAATATTAAAAGGGCTAGGGATGTGGCTCAGTGGTTAAGCACTCCTGGGTTCAATGCCCCCATACCGAAAACGTTAGGGCTGGGGATGTACTTGGTGGTAGAGCAGTGGCCTAGCATTAGGAGGCCCTGGATTCCATCCTCAGCACCTGGGCATGGGGGCGGGATGGGGCTGGGGGGAGTTAACGTAAAGAAATGCAGAGGGGGCTGGGGTTGTGGCTCAGTGGTAAAGTGCTCACCTAGCATGTGTGAGGCACTGGGTTGGATTCTCAGCACCACAAAAAAATAAAAACAAATAAAAATAAAGGTATTGTGTCCAACTACAACTAATATATATATATATACATACATACACACACACACACACACACACACACACTAAATAAATAAATGAAAAGAAATGCAGAGGCCAGGTGGTTGTGGTACACATCTGTGATCCCAGCTACTTTGGAGTCTGAGGCAAAAAGATTGCAAGTTCAAGGCCAGCCTGGGCAACCTAGAGTGAGACCCTGTTGTCTCTAAATAACAGAATTTATTGGTGGAACAGCACCCCAGGGTTCCATGCCCAGTACCAGAAAAGAAAAAAAAATGGAAACAAAACAAACATAGTTCAAGGTTATTCTTGGGAAAAAATTCTAGAGGGCTGTAAATATTATTGTGCCTAGATGTTAGACGTGAAAAGATGTGACAATATAGTAGAATATAGAATGATAAAATATACAGAATATTTATAGAACAGAGTATATGCTTGAATATGTTATAGAAGGTAAAATCTAGAATGAAAGTGTTAGCAAACCACTGGAACTCTTATGCTTTTGAATACCTTCCCTACCCTAAACCCCACTCTCAGAGGGCCAGGGTAATCTTGGTTCAATTGTGGAAAAGGCAGTGTTAGTCTTTTTAATAGCTTTAGCTGAAGCTTAGGCGGCCATAATGCACCTGGCCTTCTGCTCCATGTGTGGGGCCCCCAGGCATTAACAACCATTGTGCACCTGTGGCCTCTGCATTGCCCCCTCCCCCCAAGGTCTGAGTGACCCCCTGTTCTTCTGTGCTTTCTAGGTTCTTCTCTCTCAAGGCCATCTGTGATGGAAGCACTCAATCTCAGGATCCAGAGAGACCAAACAGGATTCTTGACATTCCGATGATAATCTGAGGCATGGATGGGCAAGTGATTTCTGGAAGCTGTGGCTAGTCCTGATGCCCTGAATCATCTCATTCACGAAGGAACCAATTAACACAAAGGATCAACCACTGAACACTTGAGATTGTGGGTTTTTGGATTTTTGGTTTGTTTTTTTTTTTCCTTCCCGAAAACATCTTTGTTGTTCGAAAAACAAAAATAAGGGCTGGGGATGTGTCTCAGTGGTAGGGCAATTGCCTAGCATGCATGAAGCCCTGGCTCCCATCCCCAGCAAGGCAAAGAAAGAAAAAAGAAAAGAAAAAAAAAACAGTGGGAGAGGGGAACACTTAAACTAAAATGTTTCTCATTTTAGAACTTCAAGTTCATGTCAACTGTGTAGGGGAGATACCTTGGGGACCAGGGTTCTCTTTATATTCCTCTAACACTAGGCCCTTCTCAGTTTTACAGTTGATGGAGTCAGTGCAGCCAACCCACATAAATTATCTCTTTCCAGTTTCTTCTTAGAACTTTCTTGAAGTGGAATTTCAGGAGGTCTCATGTCTCTAGTGAAAAAATTTATTTCCACTAACTAGTAAATCTCTCCAAGGTGGAGTCAAGACCTTCATTTCTGTCTTCCTAATAATGCCTTGCACCTAATAGGCATTCGATGAGAGGTTTAAATTGATTTATAAATGGATGATTAAGGAGGGCCCTTCAATTACACCAACATTTACTGGCTGCAGTAGTTCCTGCCAGGGAGCACAATGGGACCTCCTGTCGGAAAAGCCTGTGAACAAAATAGCCTTCCTGCTTTCCTCATGGGCCCCACTGTTCTCCTGGGGAACAAACTGAGTTTCAAATTGACTTCCCATTCCTTTTAAGTAAATAGGAAAAAGGGGGCAATAGAAGCCATTGTACCCTATTCCCCCAGCTCTGCAATTTGCTATTTTAATGCAAATTTTAATGAAATAATGAGAAGAGGCTCACAGACAATGCATGCAGCTACTCAGGCAATTATGTAAAGTGAATGAGGTTGGAGAGCAGTGTCCTAACTGCAGGGATGGTGGCAAAACCAGTTTCATACAAAATAGACCCCCAGCCATGGACATATTTGCTGGGACTGCCCAAGCCTCTGAAAGTCTGCTCAGTTCTTTCCCAGAGCACGAGTGCCCTTCCTTGGAGGCAGAAGTTGTGGTAAGAGGGTGAAAGAGAAAGGAAAGCCAGACTTTTAGCTATTCTTTTGGCTATAGCTTGGTGGAGGGATATGTCCCAGTGGTAGAGCACTTGTCTAGCATACACAAATTCTTATGTTCAGGGGTGAGAATATAGCTCAGTTGGTAGAGTGATTGCCTTGCATACATAAGGTCCTGGGTTCGATCCCCAGCACCAAAAAACATAAGAAAGGTCCTTGCGTTCAGCCCCCTGGGTTCTGAAACCCCAGATTCCTAGCACCAAAAAAAAAAAACCCCAAAACTGAACAAAGGTCCTTGCGTTCAGCCTCCTTATCCCAACCCCCAACACACAGGTTCCCAAGTCCAACATGGGATACTGAGATGGCTCATTTTATTTATTCATAACAACCCTTAAGAGCAAGGGTCAGGGGCTGGGGCTGGGACTCAGTGGTAGAGTGCTCGCCTGGCACGTGTAAGGCACTGGGTTTAATCCTCAGCACCACATAAAAATAAATAAAGGTATTGTGTCCATCTATAACAACAAAAAAGCAAGGGTCAGCAAACTATGTCCCTTAAACCAAATCTGGTTCACCATCTCTAGTTTTTCTGTGGAGCTGGGGACAGAACCCAGGGCCTTGCACAGGTCAGGCAAGTGTCCCACCACTGAACTACATGCCCACCTCATTGTCTATTTTACAAATAAACTTTTACTGAAACACAGCCATGCTCATACATTTACATATTGTCTCTGGCTGCTTTCAAACTACAATGGCAGAATCTAGTACTTCAGAAAGAGACCATTTGGTTCACAAAGCCACAAACATTTACTGTTTGGTCCTTTGTAGACAAAGTATGCGGAACCCTGTCTTAGAGAAAGGCATTCATATTCATCAGGATAGGCTACATTAGCTGCAGAGCAAATTGTCCCGGAAATTTCAGAGGCTTCACATAACGGGTGTATTTTTTCACTTAGGTGACATCTATTGTGGGTAAGCAGCAGGTTCTGCTCTACTTAATAATCCAGGGATCAGGCTGGGGGGAAAAAAAGAAAGTAAGAAAACCACTATGTCAACAGTTGTTTTCATGGCAGGGAAAGGGAGAGCCATAGATAATATGTAAATGTATGAGCATGGCTGTGTTTCAATAAAAGTTTATTTCTAAAATGGACAATGAGGCGGGCATGTAGTTAGTGGTGGAAAGTTGCATGCTAGCTTTGTGATGCCTCATTGGGAAAGTGGCCTGCTCACCTTGGCTGCCACTACTCAGATGGTACCATCTGACTGCAAGGAGGCTGGAAAATGTGAGGGAAGAGGCACATGGTTGTTTTGGTGAGCAGTGAATATCCACGCCCAGTGCTGTCCCCTCCATTGGATAGATAAAGAACCAAGTGGCAGTTCCAGAGTTCTGAAATGCTGCCTGCCATTGATTTATTTTCAGTCAGTTCCATTAATCAATTTCATTGAAAGTTGGATCCCTTTTCAGTCAGACCAGGTAGAGATCTAGGAAGCTGTTTTTGAACAATGACATCAGTGCAGTCTGTGGAAGCAGCAGCCAGTGTGAAGCAGAGCAAAGTGTTGCTAGGAGCAGAGGTAATTCAGCCAGATTGAAAGGAGGAGCAATAGGGTGTTTTTGAGGACTGTTCCAATATGGTGAACCAAGAAGAGTAACACTCACCTGGTATGCAGTCTAAGGTAGCGCCTGCATTCCACAGAGCATTTGTTCCTCCTTGGCAATCACACTTGCATGTTTTTTGGTACCAGGGGTCCTCGCCCTCATCCTGCACGCAGCCAGAGGAACAGGAAGTCAGAAAACTCGCAGGCAAAGGTGACTGTGGTCAGTGCCCATGGAAAGCTTATTTTCAAAGATCATGTTCTTTCCTTACATATTGTCTGAGTGTTTTGTTACAGTGGCAAAACTGTTACCAGCCTGAATATCTACTGTTGCCACTCATCTTTGATTCTAAGTAAACAAATATCTGTGGCCATGGGTGACCAGCTAATAATCTCTCAGACATATCCATGTAGAGGGCGGTGTTCACCCTCTGAGGGCTTGGTGATAGTCCTATATATTAATTCTGGTTAATATGAATGCCTTTCTCTAAGACAGGGGTCTGTATACTTTGTCCACAAAGGACCAAACAGTAAATGTTTGTGGTTTTGTGGACCAAATGGTCTCTTTCTGAAGTACTCAATTCTGCCATTGTAGTTTGGAAGCAGCCATAGACAATACGTAAATGTATGAGCATGGCTGTGTTTCAACCCAATGCAAGGTTGGACTTTTTTACATGTTCTGTAGGTTCCTATCCAGGGATCCAGTTTTTAAAGGTACTGGATTTGGGATGGAATGAAGCTCAGTGGTACAATGCTTGCTTAGCATGTGGGAGGCCCTGGGATCAACCCCCAGCCCCACAATTAGAATACATAAAGGCACTGGATTCAAAACTGAGCATTCTGAGTTAAGATCTGGTTTACTGTTATTCTCTCATTAAAGCACCAATCTTGCTGGGGGTGTGGCTCAGTGGTGGAGCTCTTGCATTGGCATGACCCTGGGTTCAATCTCCAGCATGGGGGTAGGGGTGGGGTGGGGTGATAGTCCTATATATTAATCTTGTCTAAGAAAATTTAAAAAGCAAGCTGGGTTCAGTGGCACATGCCTATAACCCCAGCATCCCAGGAGGCCAAGGCAGGAGGAACTCAAGTTTGAAGTCAGCCTCAGTAATTAGGGAGATGTCTCAAAATAAGAAATAAAAAGGGCTGGGGATGTAGCAAGCTCAGTGGTAAGTTCTCCTAGGTTCAATCTCTAGTAATGGGGCACGGGGGCTTCAAAAGCTGTGTCCATGTACATTCCAGCCTTCTAACTGTGACATACCTCTGTAGATGATAATCCCAGTGTGGCTGAGCAAAAGAAGACAGGAAAAATGAAATTAAGAAAAAAGCAATTTGACAATATTATTCATTACACAGAAGCAAAAGGAAAATAATCATGTGAAAGTTAACAAAGCTTCTTCTGAAAGAAGTCAAGCTAAGCACCTATCTGCCAGGAAAAACATCCACAGATGCTGAGAAACTAGGGCCAGTAAAGTGAAACACAACAGGATGCTAATTACTATTTTTGTTCATTATGGAATTTTGGAAAATATATTAATGTAGTCAAGCAGGGGAGGAGAGACCATTTATATTTTTCTTCACCAAAGTCAACAATGTTTAGTGTAAATTTTCTCATTTTTCCTTTTTCTTCTGTGCTGGGGATTGAACCCAGGGCTTCATGCATGCTAAGCAGGCGCTCTACCACTTTGCTCTATCCTCAGCCCTTTCATGTGTATTTATTTAGTTAGTTATTTATTTTGTGGTGCTGGGGATTGAACCCAGGGCCTTGTGCATGCAATGCAAGCACTCTACCAATTGAGCTATATCCCCAGCCCTCATGTGTAATTTTTAAACATATTTGAGGGCTGGGGTTGTGGCTCAGCTGTAGAGCACTCACATAGCATGTGTGAGGCCCTGGGTTGGATCCTCAGCACCACAAAAAAACAAGTAAATAAAGGCATTGTGTCCCATTACAAAAAATAAATATTTAAAAAACATATTTGACAAGCTACTCTATAAATAATGTTGTGTCTTGCTTTCCTTTTCTATTTAACAGTAACAGTGTTAGGTTTTCTCTTATTACTTTTTCATCCTCCTCCTCCTCCTCATTCCTGGTGTCTGTCTAATGTACTACTCAGGAGTTGATACCCAGTTCCCTTACCATGTCATACTTGGATTATTTAGGATTGGGACATTGTTTAGCAATTCCTTTTTAGGTTTTTCTATAATTTACAGGGAATGCCAAACCACAATTAAAGTGTAAATACTATATAAAAATATGGGAAAACTGAAAGCATACAAAATTTAACATAAAACTGATATAAACTATCATCTCTGGAGTACAAATAAAGAGAATGAATACATAATAAGTAGGAAAAGAGTTTGTGTATATTAGTATAAACTGATTAAAGCTTCACTGTCTGGTGCAATAGCAACAACTTCCATGTGGTCATTGGAATTTAAAGTAATTTTAATTACAGGTATGTGCCACCTCATCCTGGCAATCCCAGAGACTCTGGAGGCTGAAGCAGGAAGATTGCAAGTTTGAGGCCAGCCTCAGCAATTTAGTGTGAGATCCTGTCTTAATTTTTTTTTAATTTTTTTAGTTATAGGTTGACACAATATCTTTATTTTATGTAGTGCTAAGGATCAAACCCAGTGCCTCACGCATGCTAGGCGAGCGCTCTACTGCTAAACCACAACCCCAGACCCTGTTTCAAAATTAAAAAAATTAAAAGGATGGCTCAGTGGGAAAGCATCCCTGGGTTCAATCCCCACACAAACAAAAAAAAGCCATTAAAATCAATTAACAAAATTAAAATTCAATTTCTTGGGCTGGGGTTGTAGCTCAGTGGTATAGCACTTGCCTAGCACATGTGAGGCACTGGGTTCAATCCTCAGCACCACATAAAATAAATAAAGGTATTGTGTCTGTCTACAATTTAAAAAATTTAAAAAAATTCAATTCCTTAATTGAACTACCCATATTTCAAGTGACTAATAGCCACATGGGCTACTGTAGTGGACAGCACAAATGCAGAACATTTCCATCATCACAGAAAGTTCCATTGGAGAGTGCCGGTTCAAAGCTCAGAAAGGGCTCAGGAAATGCTACCCCCAAATATAGTCCCTTGGTAGATTGAGTATTTAAGCTGAAGGAAATTGAGAAAACTACAGAAGCAAGAAGGTCCCATTGATCTTTTGTCCCTTTGCTCCTGAAATGAGTCACATAAATTCTCCTCACTTCTTTCTCCCCTGAAGTGGGCCATAGAAACTAAAATTTCCCTTGTTTCTCCTCCTCTGAAACAAGCCATAAAACCTAGGAAGGCCACTCTCTGACCTTCTCTACTAGACACCATCATTTGACAGGTGTTCTGCCCAATTCTCAGAAGGAAGGAATGTCACAAACAGGGATACCAAGAAGAATCTGAACAGGCTTTGCTAAGTTCCCCCCAGTTTATTACCATTATATCATACGTTTTTGTTTTCCAATTATTCTTCTGCATTACTATCCATACAAGTATACAGACTTCCCTATTCCTTCCTTTCTCTCTCTCCCTCCCTCCCTCCCTCCCTCCCTCCTTTTCTTTCTCTCTTTTTCCTTCTTTTTTTGATACCAGGGACTGAATCCAGGGGTGCTTTAGCACTAAACCACATCTCTGACCTTTTTTATTTTGAGAAAGGGTCTCACTAAGTTGCTTAGGGCCTCACTAAGTTGCTGAAGCTGGCTTCAAACTTGTGACCCTCCTGCCTCAGCCTCCTGAGCTGCTGGGATTATAGGTGTGCACCACTAGGTTTTTTTTGTTTGTTTGTTTGTTTTTTTTGTATTGTTGGGAATGGAACCCAGAGCCTTGAGTATCTAGGCAAATGCTCTACTACTGTTCCACTCCCAGCTCAGGGTCTGAAGGCTCCTGTGCCATGTCAAACTTAGTAAGTAAATTTGTATGATTTTCTCTTACTGGTCTGTCTTTGTTATAGGGAGTCTTGGCCATGAACCTTACAATAAGTGAGGAAAAGGTCATTTTTCTCCAGGTTAGCACCAAAGCTCCATTTCCCACTTATTTTAAAATATTTTTTAAGTTGTCAATGGACCTTTATTTATTTCTATGTGGTGCTGAGAATTGAACCCAGCACTCACACATGCTAGGCAAGTACTCTGCCACTGAGCCATAACTCCAGCTCACCCATTTCCCATTTTTGGGGGGGGGGTGCTGGGGATTGAACCCAGGGCCATGTGCATATGAGGCAAGCACTCTACCAACTGAGCTATACCCCAGCCCCCCAACTTCCCATTTTTGACCAGATTCTTTTATTTCTTTTCTGACTATAAAGCAACATTACCTATTATAAAAGTGCCAAACAAAACCTGAGTGTAGAAAATGGGAAGTAAAAATCCTTCCTTTAACTACTTGGCTATTTAAAAAGTGAATCTGATGCCCACAAAAAGCTTTTAGATTGAAAGTCTCATCTCTTCCATCATAATGATAAAAGCTATCATTGAAAAAATACATTTTTACCCATTCTGTGACCACTTTAGTGTGTTCACTGTGAGTCTGGCAGTCTACTAGAGCTTGGGCCTTCTGAAATAGAAGCCTCACTGTGCTGACAAGGGTCTTCGGGACGTTCAGAAGAAAGACCGATGCACAAGGTGACATTCCATGTTACGCACAGGCTGTGATTGGGAGTCGGGGGAGCATATCTCTTAGCCTGGGAAGATTCAGGGCCAGCTTGCACCTCTGGCCACCACACTCCTGTTTCTCCTAGGCCCTTGTTCCACTAGTTATTCACCTGCTATGGGTTGAATTGATCCTCTCAGGTAGCAATGAAGGTTAGGGAGCGCCATCTTGGTGGACATCTGCCTTAGTACTTGCTATGGTCTGGATGTTTGTGTTCCTCCAAAATTCACACTTGAACCTATTCATCAAATGGCAGAGCCTATGGGAAGTGATTGGGCTCCATCCTCATGAATGGCATTAGTGCTCTTATAAAGGAGTCCCAGAGAGCTAGCTTGCCTCTTCTACCATGTGAGGACACAGTGAGAAGGTATCACCTATGAACCAGAAAGCAGGCCCTTGCTGGACATGAAATCTGCTAGCACCTTGATCGTGGACAATCTAGGTTGCTTAGGGCCCAGAACTCTGAGAAATACATTTCTATTGTTATAAATCACCATATATTGTGTTATAGATGACCAGACTAGGACAGTTCTGTGGTACAAAGCTCTGTACTGGCAAAAGTTACTAATAATGTATTTTCAAATCCAATGGACTTTTCCCAACATTGACCTTCTGTCTTCACACTGCTATGTTGGGTACTGTTAGTCCCTCACATTTTCCTTTTGTTTCTACTCTCTGGATAACCTGTTTCCTTTGAGAGCTTGACTTAGACCACCCCGTAAATGATGCTAAACCTAGTTCATGCACTGAATGGCTGATTGAGTATCTCCCTGTAGATGTCCCTTGTTGTCTAAAACTGGACCCAACTAAGTATTGGCAAGGAAGGCTAGGGAATAACACAAACTCTCATATGTTGCAGTTGGAGCATAAGGTAGTTTAACCTCTTTGGATAATGGTTTGGCCATTTATTTAGGTACTAGGGATTGAATCCAGGGGTGCTTAACCACTGAGCCACATCCCTAGAGACAAGGTCTTAACTGAATTACTTAGGAACTCACTAAGTTGCTGAGGCTGGCTTTGAACTCATGATCCTTATACCTCAGCCTCTTGGGCTGCTAGGATTACAGGTATGCATGACCACACCTCGCTCAGTTGGACAATTTAAAGCTGAACATATATATGCTCTATAATCTAGTGATTCCACTCCTAAATGGTTACCAACCAGAAATATATATATATGTATTCTCCAAAAAACCAAAAGCATGTACAAGACTATTCATAGCAGTTATTTGTAATACCCAAAGCTGGAAAAACTCATCTGTCCATCAAGAGTAGAGTGAATACATCATGGTATATTCTTATAATGGAATACTATACTTCAATGAAAATTGATAATCTGTAAGTACATGACATAATATGGATAAATCTCACAATACTAAGTGAAAAGTCAGATGCTAAAGCAGATACACCATGTGCATATTTTTTAAAAGTATAAGAACAGGCAAAAATAATCCATGCCATTAGATATTAGGATACTAGTTGCACTTGGGGCAGGCAGTGGTGGGGAAGAACCTCAATGGGGGCTGGTCAAGATACATTTCTTAACCCAGATGTTTGTTCCATGGGCATGCTCAGTGGTGAAAATTCACTGAGCATATATTTACATGTATTCTTTTGTGTTTATTATACTTC